CTGAGCCAGCTGGTGCGCTCAGCCAGAGGATACAAGTTTTCTTGGAGTCGTCCGTAATCCAACTGGTGATATCGCTTAATACTGCTTTCCGAGTGTCGGGATGGCATTTGGGAGAGTCATAACGTTCTTTGGGGTTGTGCATCGCGCCCGCCGCGATATTGTCATACAGCAGTTTCAATCCTGATGAAAGAAAAAAACTTAGTGACCGAATAGGACGAGATAGATGACACCCTACCTTGAGCTCCAGCACCGCTGCTGTTTGAATAAGCTGCATGTTGCCCTTCATATGCAATGGAATTTCCGTGAACAACCGTCAGGGAACCTCCTGACACAACAACGTTCTTGGAGTGGTTAAACATGCAGTGACGGCGGTGTTGTCTCCGGACAACCCAGTCTACATGTCGGCGCCTGTGGCTGATAACATGATAACACCTGGATTGTCAACAGCTTTGGTTACTAGAGGCTGACACTTAGCAGCGGCAGCAGGCACCTTGCTTGCTGACAAATACGCTGCTTTGCACCAATACAATGTGACTTTTTTTTCGTAACAAAGGAAACAGTGTTCAAGAGCTATAGCGCTACATAGTTAAGTATATAAACATTGGAGCTGGCACTAAGAAAGAGACGACGATATCATGTTTTGAAAAGACCAGTTGTTTGCACCGGTTTGCTTGCTCGCGTGTGCCATATGCAAGAAAAGAGCCCCATGGCCCGTAGAAAGTTTGTTTGTTCATGCTTGCCCGCTCGCGTGCGCGATATGCAAGAAAAGACCCCCATGGCCCCTGGGTAGTTTGTTTGTACCTGTTTGGTATTTATGACCTTGACAAGCAAGGTGACATAAGTTGACGCGTGACGTCACGATGCGGGCTCTTCTTGCAGTCAAGATCAATATTCGATGTTCAATCTCCATAAACGCGTCTCTTGACCCATGTTCGTTTGATCACGATTTCGATTTTCTGAACTCACTACGATAACTCGCTCATTTTTCCTTGTCCAATCTCAAAGCAATTACCTTGAATTTCACCGCGAAGCACACCTTGAGCACACTCCCAGTATCGAGGTAATTAGTCTGTTCTACTTCACGCAGTTGTTCACTAATCATTGTCTTCGCAATTCGAAATAGCTGTCTACAAAGCAATATACTAGGAATGAATCTACTACTCTACAGTTACTTTCAAAATCTCGTACTCTACAAAAATAGTGGCCTTCAAGTTGGCAGGGAGTGATAATATTATTATTACGATGAGGCCCATGGTCGACGAAGTGGTAACAATTGAGCAAAAAAGAAAAACACAAAATAAGGCTGTCGATGTTGATCGAACCACCACTCTAACGACGAGCCAGAACACGACCTCGAGCATCTAAACCAAACAAATTGGCTAAAGAGCCAGAGTCAGATAATAAGCGCCAAAGTTTACATATTGCACCCACCAAGTTCCCTGACAGTAAACTCTGGGGAATGAAAGGGACAATGGTTAAAATCGCGCAGGGGAAGTTCAAAGAAACAAACTTACTGATCTTCCTCCCCGTGCCCTCCCCCAAACTTCCATCGGCGAGGGATTGCTAGAGAAGAAGGCAAATGAGAACTTAAACGACCTAAAACATTGAAATTCAAACCTTGCGTTCTTGAATATTCAGGAGGCGATCTTCAACAGTGTCAGCGATCACGAGACGCTGGACTTCAACGGGCCGCGTCTGGCCAAGGCGATGAACGCGGTCGAAGGCTTGATCCTCGATTGCTCTTGACCAGCCGAGATCGAGCGAGATGACGTTGTTCGCTCGCGTAAGGTTGAGGCCGACACCTGTTGCGGGTGCCAATTAACGGCGGAAAGGACATACAAAAGTTCAAGGGCTTACCTCCGCACTTGAGCGACATCAACATCACACGGGCCTTGTCCTTTGACATAAAGACACGAACGGCCTGATCACGCTTGTTGCGGTTCATGTCACCTTGATATCTAATGAGAAGTTAGCAGCCATGTGGAAAGACGAAGTGCACGACTTACTTGACGTGGATGATGCCTTTCTCTGTCAAGTAAGCGGACACGAGGGAGAGGCAGCCAGTCCATTGGGAGATAATCAGAGTCTGCAACAAGTGAATCAGCGATGGAACCTAATCATTGGAATGAGAAAATATACCTTCTCCTCTGGGCGCTTCTCAATACCCTTGATGAGAACCTCCATCATAAACTGCAAGTGAAGTAGGCCAAGTATCGTAGAAGATCAGCGCAGCTGAACATACCTTCATTTTCGTCGATGGCAAGAACTTTGGCATCAGGCGAATGGCCTCTTCAGAAACCGGCACCTTCTTCTTGCGACCAAAGATGACCTCCTGTTCCTCAGGAGTATCCATCTCCTCGTCCGAATCCAAGACGATGGTGGCCTTGCGTTTTCCAAGCCGCCTCTTGAAAGCCAAACGGACATCCTTCTCCTCCTCGTCCTCGTCGCTCTCGACGATGAAGTCACTCATGTCGTCGTCTTCATCACTTTCGAAATCAGATTCGATATCGTCGTCGTCGTCAACGCGACGGCGTGATTTGGACTTGGACTTGGACTTGAGAACTTTCTTCGCCTTTGCCTTTCCTTTCCCTTTGAGATTCAAAATGGGTTCGTCGTCCGAATCAGCGAACTTTGCTTTCCTCTTCTTCAGCGGCCCGTCGTCGGAATCTACCATCACAACGTCTTCATCCTGTTCTCCGATGAGATTAAGGTCGGCATCAGAGGGCTCGAAGGCGACGCGGCTGAAGAGCTTCTCCTTGACAACAGCGGATCGACATACAGGGCCTGGTGATGCCATGTTAGCAGTAGCGAGTTAGGACTAGCAGCAATCGTACATGGTCGCTCATCAGCTTTAAATGTGGCACCATCGCCTCCTTCGACTTGAGGGGTATTGAGAACATCGCCTGGGCATCAAAGTCATGCGAAGTCTAGACTCAGACACGGGGAATGCTTACAGATGCATTTGCGACAGAAGATGTGAGTGCAAGGCGTGATGACGGCGTCATCCAGATTATCATAGCAAATGGGACAGTCTTCGTCCTCGAGAGCAGCGTCGGCAGACTACATTGGCAAGACTCAATAAAACAACGATGACCAACATGCACAACACATACTTCCTTTTCAGCAGCCATCCGTTTCAAGGTCATTTCCCTAAACTTTGCCTTCATCTTCGTCACGAACTCAGGTGACACAAGACGTCTCGCGCGGGAAAGCTCTGTGGCAAGCTCAGGTTTGGAGCTGTCGACCTCATCCGGATGGACGAACGCTACTCCGTCTTCTTGGATAAGCGACGGGTGGGAGCAAAGTTGTCGAAGTCGGAGGAGAAGCACAAGGACTTGATGGTAGTTCCTTCGAGAGGAGTAAGCAAGGCTTGACAGGAAGACAAGTTCACTTACTTGAGAACTGTTCCAGCTCTTAGATAGCGATTGAACTTGGCCTGTGAGCGGGCCTCAACCTGAAACGAAGATCAATATCAACATTGCTAATCTTTGGGGATAAAGGCTTACCATCGTATAAATCTCCCTCTCCTCTTGCGAAAACTCAAGCTTTACTAGCTCAACCGTCTTCTTCGGCAGCTCAACGAGGCGCTTGCCGTCCAAAAGAGAGTTCTTCATGCGACGTAGAAGGAATGAACTGAAGATAGCTTGAAGCCGAACAACTGCAAGTGCAGCTAGGGAGAAGATATCAACTATTGTTGTTTTAGTGAGAAATTATCCGACGTACGATTTTTCTTCTCTAATAACCCAATGTGGTGGTGAAATTCAGTCCAGTCATACCAAGGCCTGATCTTGAGGAATCTCGTGTACGCATATGCATCAACAAGACTGTTGATGATGGGAGTGCTAAAGAGATGTCGCTCAGCACAAATGTCGGACATGTTACTGATTCGAGCGTACCCTGTCAAGCACCACCGATAGGTGCCACGGAGCTCGCTAGATGCTCGAGACTGGCCTGTGAATTAAGGAGGAATAAGTAAAGATATTGTGATGTAAATTGAAAGGTGGCTTACGAGTACGCCGATTACGGATGGCCTGAGCCTCATCGAGGACGATGCGGTAGAACTGAACATATGCAGCATGGTCAGCATCATCGTCTAGAAAAGAACTGGGACGACCTACGTCAATTTCGAAGAGCAGTCCCTCTATAGCCCAATCGGCGAATGCGTGACAAGGGATTCAATGTGGAACTTACTTTGTTGCTTCTTAGCCTTGCTTCCCTTCTTCTTACCTCCATCGTCATCGTCAGAATCAGAGACAATGAAGTCGTCGTTTTTCTTTTGGCGCTTCGCTTTAGCTTTCTTTTTTTGCTCCGCTTCGAAATCGGGCCACTCAAGATACATTGTCTTGAGAAACGATAGACGTCAGCTCCTCTGACAAGTGTATATATGCACAGTGCAGACTAACCGTGTAAGTAGTCAAGACAATATCGTACTTCATGATCTCTGATTTCTTTCGTGGTTTTGAGGATCCTAGAAAGACGGTGATTAGTATGGTGGGCTGTTGGTAGAGACTACGACAAACCATGATAAATCAAGCACTTCAGCTCGCAGTTAGTCTTGAGCTCGATCTCCATCTTCCATTGATCAAGCAGCGCCGTGGGTGCGATGATAAGGGTCGTCTTGCAGATCGGATCCGTCGACTGATTCTTCACGATGACGGCAATCCTGGTTGTGAGAAACATCAACGACTGAACAATTCGATAAAAGAACGCGCATACATCTGGATGGTCTGCAAAATGAGGTGTCAGGGGGGCGTGAGGAATAAATGGCCTAGACTAACCTTTCCCAGACCCATGTCGTCGCCTAAACAGCCGCCCTTGAAGTAGCTCAGCTCTTTGTCGAGCATCCACGCGGCACCGATGGTCTGATGTGGCATCAGGGCAACTTCCATCCCCGGCAAGAGGTCGTATTGCGATGACAAGCCAAGTCGTTCAAGCGCCTTGTCGACGCTTGCATTTCCATCGAATTGTTCTGCATTTCCAGCTTCGAGTAGGAATTTGTCGATGCTGGAAGATAAGATCATGAGTCTATAGTAACAACCGAGAGATGGGGCATGGAGAGACACACTCATCAGCCTTGGCTTGAGGTCCAACGTAGAGATCGCGGCCTCGACCGTAGAAGTCCCCGTTACCGTCCTGGTGGTCGGTGCGGATAGGAGCTGGAACGTTGATGCCCACCCGCGCAATGAGATCGTCAGCGATCGCCGGCGCCATTTCTTCGTCGCTGTCCCAATGCGAGTATGGGAGGTGGACATTGGATCCAGAAGCAACAGGTTGCGCAGCTCGAGTTACCTTCTCTTTAACGAGCGTTGGACCTGGAGGAAGCGTGACGTTGGATCCCGATGCGACTGGTTGTTGCGGCTTATATTCATAGAACGCATTTTCGGCAACCACGGGGAAAGGCTTCCGTTCGACAGAGACGGGTTTGGAGTCGACTGCGGGCCAAGCGTCCGCATTTGAGAAAAGGACGAAAGGCTTCCTTTCGGTTTTGGCTACTTGTTTATCGAACGGTTGGGGAAGCATGTCGTTGTCGCCAGAACCAGGGAAGGGGCGTGAAAAGATGTTTTCCGATTTTGTTGGGGAGTGCAACGACGCCATAGAATGTGTCCTTTTCAAAGGAGACATCGAGGGGATGGCTGCGTTGTACTCAGCTTTGAGCATGTTGAGCGTCTCTAGTTCCTGCATATACCCGCTCATCCTCGTCAAATCCGCCTTTGACTTCTTGGTTTTGCGCTTGATGCGGTCGTGAGATGTCTGTACCGCTGCGATTTGGGCCTGTACCTCCTGTAAACGAGCGCGTATTTCCTGGATATCTGGAGGCGGTGGAACAGCGCGAGAGGTAGGCAATTCAGATGCTGTGAAGGTGTTGGAGCGAGGGGCAAGGGGTGTTTTGGGTGTTGGCTCGGTCTTGAGCTTTTTGATGGAAACCGGTTTGCCACTTGATGGATTTCCGAGCACACCAAAGGGCGTATCCGATAGGCGCTTGCGAGGAATCGTCGACTCCTCCAACTCCGGCTTGATGCGGACCAAACCAGAGGAACGTCTGCTGGTGGTTCTAGACGCATGAGAGGGCAACAAAGACGCGGTAGACTCTCGTTTGACCGGAGTGGATGATGATTCAGGTGTGTGGCCCTGCTGACTTGGTTTAGCACGGAAGGAAGAAGGGGAGATTTGAACAAACGCACAACATGTGTTGTTTGCGGCGCCCTCAATTTAGCTTTAATGCGCGCCAATCTGTTCTTCGCGTGAGTCGCGTGGGATTCAATATGTTTCTATGCGTGACGATGCACAACATTGTATGAGTTGCATCCTTTATTGAGTTTATGGAAAAGACTTACCCTGTATTCAAGCAATGATCCGAAGCCTTCGCGACGTCCTCCATCATGCGTTTTGACGCGTTTTCCCAGCGATATGGTCTCGTTATTGCAGCCTTTTTCCAAACAGGTAAGGAAGCCAACTAAAAGTTATGCGACATCACAATGGAGCAAAGAAATTTCGATAAGCAAATGGGCTTACACCCATGTTTAGGTTGCAATATGACCCGAAACTAGTTGCATTTGAGTTACGGTTGTTAAAGATGTTAAAAGACTGGGCCTCACGTTATCGTCGTGGGGGTACAGCACCAGATGGAGCTTGAGCTCTTCAAGATAACACTTTGGGATCACAGAGACCTTTGAGGATTAAATTAGTACCACGTCAGAAACACGCGATGACCCTGAAAGGCAACAACCAAGACTTACGGGAGCGGTGGCAGGAAGCGCCATCTGATCTTTAGCGAGACGAATAAGATCACTGTCAGCCATGACGGCCGGGTGAGGGATAGTGGGGAGAAAGAGAATGGGGACAAAAAGGAGGGCGCGTCGCGATGCGGAGTTTAAGACGCGTCGGTCACTTCCCACGCCAATGTGACTTAATTACCTGTGCGTGACACGTCACCACAACCTCCAACCTCCTGATTTGCATTGCCTTCTGCTTGCTTTGCCTTGCCTGGGCAAAAAAAATATGAGCCACAGGCCATGCAACGCTCTTCTTCTCGCACAACCTCCAAAAAGAACTGGAAATTTTGAACGTCATCACAAAAATCAGTCGATCACAGTTTCAGGGTCTATTGAGATGCGCCCCTGCACCCCCAAATGTAGAAATGCCGACAATCAGGTCTGAAACGTTCCTCGGTTCCGCCCCTGCTAAAGATTGGCTGTAAACATGACCCTCACACCCCGATTTGGGCAAGGAACTCCGTCGTCTCCCAACTTTTCGTTCAGCGTGTCTTGGCTGTGTTTCACGGCTCTCTGAGTCAGCTTTCTCTCCGGATACGCGCAACGTACGGATTCCTATTATCTCTCACCACCTTGCTCTTATACCGACGTGAATGCACCTTCAGAGGGGTCCAGCAATTGCTGGCCCCACAGGGGCCCCAGGGACTGTCGACCCCGGGGTGAAAAGCTATGAAGGTGATGGGATGGGATGGATCGGCCGAGGAGAGCTGCTTCTGAGAAGACTTGGTCTAGAGGTTCACGAGAAACCTCGATGACCTGACAAAGGCATTATTTCACGAGCAACTCGGAGTGTAGGCACTCAAATACCGTAATGTGGAAAACCCCAGAGGAATACGCCATCATATTTTACATTGCTTTCGAACGCCAGACCTTTGGTAGGAATGCGTCTAGGTAAGCTAAAGAAGCCTCAGCAGAAATCGTTGACCAGATAAAATAGCATACAGACGTTGACCACACAGACATCAGAATCTGCTTCCTTGTCTCTTCAAGGTTCGAGTGAAAATAAAGGGGCTGCTGTAACTAGACGAGGTTAGCGCAACGTCGAGCGACATACACGGGCAAATACTTTACTACTGCCATCTCGGACACACCTGTATTTAAAAGAGATCAGTGAAGATGAACATGTAACGCTACAATAACTCACCATCGCTGCCAACCCCGTCAGATTTACTCATTCTGTATTGCTCCAATGGCATGCGACTCGTCTCGAGCAGCAAGATATGCCTGGGCGCGTGTGGCGCGTGCAAGGTGTTGAACCGTTGCCGCTTGCGAACCCAATTCCTCTCCTGCAAAGAGCTGAAGTCAATCCGCGCAAGTATGATACAACTCTCGTATGACTTACCTTCCTCCACGACGATAACTGCCTTGCCCTTCATATCCACCAAATCAGTAGAGGGGCTACACCTTTTCGAAACAGGATTCCATCGATGTGACAAGAACTGTAAGGAAGCAATGTTCACTTTTACATGTAGAAATCTCCTCTGCAGGCTGACGTACCTCGTGGCGCATTAGGGGGGACGAATCCAATGCCTGCCGCTCAATAACAAACCACGTTTGCCAGCAGTCACTGTCACCGCGAAGTGGTGGTCGTAGTCGGGGTTCGCTTTGTTCTCGTTTTGGCCTCGAATGATGCACTGATGCGCCAAATTACGACCAAACAAAGCTCCTTTTCCCGAATTACCACTCAAATTGCCTACTGATACCGGAGCTGTATATCCAATATCTTGTAACAGCCGTCTGAAAGCCTTTTTTTTAAAAACGATCCCGAACATCAATGAATTCCAGAATGAGCGCACCGAAGGAAGGATTTGTGACCAAAGAGGGATCGGAAGTCGATTCGAGGCGAGGGCGTCATTCAAGAACCAACTACGGCAGCGGAGAATATTTGAAAGGCCACTTTTCGTCGATTCCACAATGACCGGACCCTTTTATTGAGGTTGAGACGGCACGAACTCCAAGTTGCGCAGAGCACAAGTAGAGCACAAAGCACCCAAAATGAATCGAAGGAAAATCATTAGGGTTCCGTGCATGTAAATTTCCTTTCAGTTATTTTCGAACCTTGGATTCGTCGCCTTGAGCCGCCCGACTCATATCGAAGTTCCACGGACGACAGAATAAACGACTAGCATGATATTCGTAATTGATCATGCAGAGTACTAGCTGAGGCAGTCGGAGGATCTGCTCGAATTTTCCCAGTACTGTAGGTCGGACAACGCCAACGTCCTTAGAAACCTATGAAACAAGTAATGAAAGAGTCGGGAGGTTTGAGTCTGAAGAGAGTGCTATCGGAAGACTTCCGCGTTTGAAAAAAATACATTCAGCAGTCTTACACAAAAACTCTACACCCTCCTCCACACAACAAGCCTTTCCCTCCCAACATGACTTGGGGAAGACTCCTCCGGTATCTTATCCAGTACTTTCACAAAATCATTCCCAAGCGGTTCCAAGTAATGTTCCGGGCGCACAAAATAAGGCGGCCCCGACTCAATAAATTCATCAATGGGATAAACCAGCGTGATGAGGTAGCCTCCTGGCTTCACGAGCGCAGCCATTTGCCTTCCCCAGCTTACGCGAAGGGATGGGGGAATAGCGACGAAAAACCTTGGAATATTATATCAGGTTTGAGTCTTTGAGAGGGGGCGCTACAGGTAGGTACGAACGTGTGGTCCAAGATAATGTCGAACCGCTCCTCGTCTGACACTTTAAATTGGAAGAAATCCTCGATCCTGAACTCGGTTTTGGTGGAGAGGGAGGCCGGTTGGTGTTCACGAAGTCTAGTCGATGAAAGTAAGTCGCAGCACGCCGGTCTAGGATCTCCACAACGTACTTGTTGGCGACGTCAACCGCTGTTTGCGACCCATCGAGTCCAAGCGATTCGTATCCAAGCGCGGACGCAAAATAAAACACATCGTAACCCTGACAGAGTCAAACGTCACGTTAAACCAAGAAAGACGGGGAGGGAAACCCACAGAGCCACATCCAGGGACAAGAGCGCGTCCTTCTCTGGGGAACTCAATTTCGCTCGATTCCACTGCTTCCTTCAAAGAGGGTTGCACGTCGCCTGCATCCCAGGGAGTTACATTCTGGCGCCTGGATGTTATATCGTTATAAGTAGTGTGGGCAGAATGAGCCGTGAATCGATTGAACTCACCATGCTAGATCCCATGTAGACAGATCGTTGTCTTTCACGATATTTCTGGGTGCCAATTTCTGTGGAGGTGAAGTGGTAGCCATTTCAATGCGAAATGATTGGACTTGGATTGGCTTTTATGTAGTGGAAGGTCATGCATGTCATGACTAAAAATCCGTAAGTCATTTGTCATTGATAATTGACTCTCACGTGATTACTGACCTTCGTCCAATGATTGAAATTCAGAATGAGCGACAGTAACTATAAAGATCGGCCTCGCTCAAAAAAAATATGGTGGTGCGGGGGGGAGGGAAGGGGGGGTACTCGAGTCGTGATTTGAACGAACATGGATCAAGAGACGCGTCAAGTTTATGCCAGAGATCTGGAAGGCGTGATCACGTGTGACCGGAACACAATCCCACAATTAAACGACTTCAACTGTTATCAGCCACAGGCGCCAACATGTAGATTGGGTTGTCCGGAGACAACGCCGCCATCGCTGCATGCTTGACCACTCCAAGAATGTCGTCGTTTCGGGAGGTTCCCTGACAGTTGTTCACGGAGATTCCGTTACATATGAGGGACAACATGCAGATCATCCGACCTGCTGTCGTGCTGGATTTCAAGGTAAGGTGTCATCTATCTCGTCTTATTCGGTCACCGACTTTTTTTTTGCATCAGGATTGAAACTGTTCTATGACCATATCGCGGTGGGCGCAATGCACAACTCCAAAGAACGTCATGACTCTCCCAAATGCCATCCCGACACTCGGAAAGCAGTGTTGAGCTATATCACCAGTTGGATTTCGGATCACTCCAAGAAAACTTGTATTCTCTGGCTGAGTGCGCCAGCCGGCTCAGGAAAATCGGCCGTTCTGCAACAAATAGCAGAAAATTATCATAATTCGGGGGGATTATCTGCAAGCTTCTTCTTTTCTCGGACAGCTGCGAAGAGAAACAGTGAGGCCTCCCTTATTGCTACGCTCGCTTCCCAACTTACGACTTCAATCCCAGCCACTAAGCCACTCATCGAAGGAGCGATTGAGCGAGATCCGTCCATCTTCGACCGCGTCCTCTCTGAACAGGTGGTCCGTCTTGTGGTTTACCCACTGGTCCATGCTTCACTCCATCCCCAGAGTGGTGCACCGTGGCCAACGTTGCTTGTCATAGATGGGCTCGATGAGTGTAATGGAGGAGAGCGTCAGGCTGAAATCCTTCGTATCCTCAGGATGGCCCTTTTACAACTGAGGTTCTCTTTACCAACACTTTACCTCCTAATTTCGAGCAGGCCAGAGCCAGCCATTGCTGCGATTTTTGACAACGAACTCTCGGATATAACTCACCATCTAGTTCTTGACGACACCTATCAACCCGATCGTGACATCGCCGTATTCCTTCGAAGCAGCTTCGCTGACATATTCCGTCGACGCCATACTCGCTTCCCTTCTATGTCGTCCATCCCGCAGCCGTGGCCCCCAGAGCATGTTATTTATTTCCTTGTCCGAAAACCATCCGGCCAATTCATCTTCCCTGCGACGGTGATCAGGTTCATAGATGTTGATCGTAAAAATCCGACCGCCCAGCTTCAGCTCATACTCGATATCTGTGGATCAGTGGATTCATCTAGTTTTGCAACTAACCCTTTCACTCTACTCGACGAGCTCTATGGTCATGTCTTGCAGTCTAGCGAAGAAACGGAGAGGGCTATTTTTATACTTGGGGCTATCTTCCACTTGCATAGTACTACTCAAAGTCCGACTCTTGAATTCCTCCAGGAGTTTTTCCGCCTCCAACCCGATGATATTTCAATGATATTTTGGGACTTGCACTCCATCGTTCACATCCCTGTTTCTGAGAAAAGCCCTATCCAGATTTACCATGCGTCTCTTCGAGATTTTCTCATGGATCGACATAGGTCGCGTAACTTATACATTGATGGACTTAAAGCCCACTCCTTCCTTCTCAAAATGTGTATCGAAACCCTCACCGATTTTCATGGTGGATCCACCCGGGAAAAGACAGCCATTGCAGTGGAATACAGCAATGACTATTGGGTAACCCATTACGAACATGGTGATAAACTGGATCCTGGTGCTTTGGACAAATTCTGGAAGAATACAATCCAGAAACATGGCTACCATTGCATACTAATTCGGCCGATATCTTTTTCTTCATATCGTGGTGGAAGAATTTTGCAGTCTTGCGGGACCGCTTCCATATCCGAGTGAGTATATCCGTTCACATGGTTGAACTCATGATGCTGATGCTTTCTGACGGCCTTCGTTTAGTGTAGTCCAAAACTCTCAGCTTTATACACATCGGTCCTTGATCGGTACCTTGTTCACCGATTTCAAAAACATAAACTCCCCGCCGTTGCAGCAGCACTCATGTGGTTAACATTATTGGCTCCAATAGAACGTGCACCCTGGCGCTCGGGGGGCCACGAATTGATAGTACAAGAAGCCGAGTGGTTTTGGGATGTACGAGCATGCATGAACATGAAGGACAACATTCAGTTCCTTTACTTTTTTATGCATTTTCTCTCCCATCATAGGCGATCCAGTGTCAGTTTTGTTGGGAGTGCTATTTCAATTACCCATTCTGCCCAAGTCTGCGCACAGAGGGCGTGGGAGGCATTTTGGTTTTGGACCACCCAATTGGTTCGGAAAATTGGAGGTACGTTCATTCTGCAATCCCTAATGCGCTATTAGATAACATACTACATAGGTTGCTCGTTTATTTGTACGACGTGATGAACCTCTTAATTCCCGGTGATGCTCCTTATGAAAGGAGCTATCCGCTCACCAAAGAGATGATAATTCAGGATATCAATGTTAGTCATTTTCCGATTCTTTGAGTTCTGGTCCACTGATTCGGAATATCTTCATTCGTCGCACAAAGATGCGCATTGACGACATAATGGACCTTGTGAAATTCGTCGAAGCCACTACGACTGAGGATCGGAGGGGATCGTTTGCAAGCCAATTGTTGCGCTGGAGAAATAGCAAAAAGGAGCTGACTGCACTGATCGGTCCCACAATGGTCGGATCTCCCCTCATATATAGTGTTGCCTGCGTCAAATCCTGCTCTACTGACATATCTATTCCAGATACTTTCTGGAGAACAAATACTTCCAGACCAAGTTAGGACACCAGGTCGTGTAAAACGCGATTCTTTGCCACCTTCCTGCAGACAAGAGGCAGACAACAGAAGGAAACGCAGGAAATTTATCATGATTGACCTCATGCGCTCAGGCCATGATGAGGGTGCGCTATTTGAGTTCACCGGAAGCTTTCTTCAACTAATTTTTGTAGTCACTGACCATCTACCGGCACGTCGTGATGAAGAGGTGAGCATAAATGACGGATGTGATGTTGAACATGCAATAGCGATAAGTGATTGATGGGTGGCATTGAAGTCTCGTACTTAGAAGCAGACGCATTTTGGATAAAATAAATTTTACTAGTGTAATTGAGAGAAGCATGTTTTCGAATTCAATAGACCTCCTTTCAAATTGATCCGCTGATTCTAGAAACATGAAGATTTTTCAACAGTCCTTATGTTTTTAACAACTCTGGTTCCCATCGAAATACATGCAGGGTGTGTTTTCTTACACATGATACAGAACTTAGTAGATGGCTGTGGGGAGAAGCCGTGGACAACGTCCAATCATTTTCCTTTTTAGTGTCTTTTTGTTGGACTATGGCCAGTCCGATGGTCTTTTTTTTAAGGTCAAATTCAAGTCTATTGGGGCAGAGCCCCATGTCAGACCTTACAATTCTGTAGACTAGACTACCTAAGGCCCTGAGTGCCTTTCATACCTGACCCCCAAGGTCATCCCATGCACTGGTGAGAGCACGCCCAAGGCGATCATTCCCCCACCCAGCCCGGCACGGAAACGCCATTTTGGGATGCACCTATATACGTGAGTGGGGTAGCCTCGTCATTTGCTGCCTATGCTTTCCATCTACACCGATGGTCTTATATTTTACTTGTGCAAACATATTATCTTTAGGGCTGTCGAGATTAAAAACTGGTCAATCATTATTTTTCGCATGCCTGAGATGGACACATTGAGCGTCAAATTACGGTTGTACAAGTCATGTTTGGCTTCTCTGGTAGGAAACCGAGTTCTATTGGCATCTGATATCTAATAATAATGTAAGTTACCAGCAGGTAATGTTTGTCTATGATATACCCTGTGTATTGATACAGTGTTCATTGTGGCATCCAAGTCAAGTGTAATGTAAGTAGTTGTTGCCGAAAACATATTCTTCCTTCTTTCATCAGGACTACGGTTCGATATCTATTTTTTCACTAAAAACCACCATCAGATAATTTCAGAACGACTGAGGGATTCTCATGCTCACAAAATCCCAGAGTGCTCTACATACACTAACTGATCAAAAGTAATGTCACATGATTTTTTGGACAACATTGGTGCTATAACACAAGAACCAGACATTTTAAGAACTAAACTCTGGTGCATGAAACATAGCTAAAGAGGTGTAGATTGTATATACCAAGTCTGGGGATAAACAATTGAAAACTCAGGATAAGGCAGGGAATTGACTGTGACAAGTGCCAAAAATGGGATGTAACAAAGTGGGAAATTCTGAATGACTACAACCTACTGAAAGCAATTCACAACTTGAGGAAGACATATTTTGAACACTGGATCTCCCTGCTATTGTTATCAGTTTCATAAAGTCTCTGGGCTAGAAAATTTTATATCCTCCTCTAAAAGGTAAATTTGAACTTATTCTCCATTTTATGTATTTTTCACTCAATATATTTGTTGGAATGAGGTAAAATGACTCCCTATTGTTGTTTGTAGTGTGTATAATACAAAAGGTAGGTAGAAATGTTAAAATGAACATTGCATGATGTCTGTAGAAGCTAATTCCCAGAGTTTTTCTGGAAGTAAACAGGTATCTACAAGATACAGGTTGCATTGCTTCGCCCACTCCCTCTGCAGCGGTCCAAAAACACCAACATCCAGGGGTTGGAGCTTGTGGGTGGTATGTGGTGGTAAGCAGAACAGCTCGACCTTGTTCTTTACCACAAGCTCAATCATCTTGTTAGTGATATGGGATCTGTGGCC